GAGAAGCAGGCAGAGAGAGAGGAAGCAGCAGGCTCCTTGATGAGCAGACAGCCGGATGTGGGGCTCTATCCCAGGACCCCTGAGATCATGACCTGAGCCAAAGGCAGAGGCTTAACCCACTAATCCACTCAGGCAGCCCTAACATAGTTTAGATAAAATCCATTTCCTCATATAGGTTTTTAGAACAAAATTTAAAAGGGGAGAACTATAAAAGAGCATAAAATATGTTTTCCCTTGTGATGAGAACTTCTAGGATATACATTCTTAGGAATCTTCAAATATGCCATGTAGCAGTATTAATTCTGTTCATCATTATATTACATTTTGATCCCTTTCATCCATTTCCTCCATACTTGGTAACCAAAAATTTTCTCGAGTTTTTTGTTTTTCTACCTAGGAGAGAGATCCTACAGCATTTGTCTGTTGTCACTTAGCACAATGCCCTTGAGGTGAATGTATGTTGTCATATGGCAAGATTTCATGCTTCCTTATGGCTGCATATTACCCCCCACCCCACCGCTTACACACAGTTTATGCCTTCATCTGTCGACGGACTCTTGCTCCCGCGCGTTAGCTCTCGTGAGTGCTGCTCCAGTGACGGTGGCGCAGGGCTTCTTCCCACATGCAGATTTTGTTTCCTTCAGATAGGAAGTGGACTGCTGGGTCCTGCACTAGTTTCAAACACTTTGACGGGGGGCGCCCGGGTGGCTCAGTCTGAGTCATTGTGTGTGCACCACACCCGGTGCTCCAGCACTCCGTGCCCTCCTTAATACCCACCACCAGCCTCACCCATCCCCCTACCCCCTCCTCTCTAAAACCCTCAGTTTGTTTCTCAGAGTCTACAGTCTGTCATGGTTTGTCTCCCCCTCTGATTTCCCTTTGGAGTATTTTTAAAAATATTTTTATTAGGGGCTCCTGGGTGGCTCAGTTATTAAGCGTCTGCCTTTGGCTCAGATCATGATCCCGGGATCCTGAGATCCAGTCCCCCGTCGGGCTCCCTGTTCAGCGGGGAGCCTGCTTCCCCCTCTGCGTGCTGCTCCCCTGCTTGTGTGTGCGCGTGCACGCTCTCCCTGACAAAATCTTTAAAGAAAAATGCTTTGAGGAAACTCCCTACTGGTTTCCGTACTGGCTGCCCCAGTTTACAGTCCCACCAGCAGCGCACAAGCTTCCCTTTCCTCCACATCTGCTCCAACGTTTTGCCAGTTTGATGCCCCCTCAGTCCTGAAGGGCATCTCCGTGTGGTTTTGGTTTGCATTTTCCTGATGTTTAGTGATGTTGAGCGTCTTTTCATGCACAGGTGTCTCCTGCTCTCCAAAAGTAGACGGTTCCTGTGGGGGCAAAATAGTAACATGAAAAGGACCTTATAACAGCAACAATGACGAAAAAGAAAACTCTTTGGGATTAACTAGAAATATGCCAGATTTCTAGGAAGGCAACTATAAAAACTTCCCTGAGGGCCTTGAAGAATGGCCAGAATCCGGGAGAGGCAGAGCGCGGTCCTGACGGGACCGCTTAGAGAAGTCGGTCCTTCCCACACTAGTATGCACAGTCCGTGCAGGAGCCGTAGGAAATGTGCATGAATTTAAAAAAAAAAATCTTTTGTAACCAAAACAGCATAAAGAAGCCATTTCCAGTCATTTCTATGGAAAATTTTTGACTGTTCCCAGACCCCCAAAATGACCTTCCTTAGGCTTTTTTGCTACCCGGGCCGCATCCTGCTAGTGGAGGCGCAGCGTCGGCTGGGATAGAGCAGGGGTGCGCCCACACGGCTGCGAGCTCTAGCGGCTCCAGCGCGGAGAGGCCACGTAGAGCTCCGAGGGCCTGGCCGTCTGCCGCTCGGGGTGCCCGCTGCGTCTGCAGCCCCCGCGGCAAAACCAGCGCTAAATGGCGATTTGCACTTTTCACCTATTTGCATAAAAGTGAAAATCCTCTTTGGATTTCTTCTGGTTAGCCAACACCAGTACAGATGTAGGTTTTTGTCAAAATGAAGTAACACCAACTTTTCAAAAAGCAGGTGAGACCGGAGCGCCTGGGTGGCTCAGGGGGTTAAAGCCTCTGCCTTCGGCTCAGGTCATGATCCCAGGGTCCTGGGATCGATTCCCACATCGTGCTCTCTGCTCGGCAGGGAGCCTGCTTCCTCCTCTCCTCTGCCTGCCTCTCTGCCTACCTGTGATCTCTCTCAAATAAATAAAATCTTTAAAAAGGGAAAAAAGGTGAGACCTGTAACTGTGGGCTCTTTGATTACAGGTAAACCTCCCTTTACAGGGCGGTGTGGTTTGTTTACGCGTTGACGGTCTGTAGCAACCCTGCGTCAAGTCCATCAGCACCGTTTCTCCAGCAGCATTTGCTCGCTTCATTTCACATTCTGTGTCACATTTTGGTAGCTCTCACAGTATTTCAAACTTTTTCCTTGTGTTTGTTGTAACCCGTGACTATGCCTTGTTCCTGATCTACAAAGGAAAGGATTTGATCCGATTTTAGAACGTTAAACCAACCATTCTTGAACCAGTCACTCCTTCATGATTTAGTGTCCTTTTATACATCGTCGGATTAAGTTGGCAAAGTGATGTGACTGTGACCCTGAGGGATATGGGTCTGTCATTGTCTTTTCTTGTAATGCCTGGGCCTGATTTTTGGGGTCAGGGTAATGCTGGCCTGATAAAATACACTGGGAAGTAGTCACTCTTACTCTTCTGGAAGGGTCTGTGTGTCATTAGTATTATTTCTTCCTTACATGTTTGGTCAGTTTTATGCAAGAAGCCATCTGGGATCTGACTTTTCTTTGTGCAAAGTTCCAAGATATGAATGGATACAGGGCTGTTCAGATTATGCCTTCTTGGATAAGCCTTGCTTTCTCTTTCAAGAAATTTACCCATTTCATTTTAGTTAATGGCATAAATATTTTTTTAAAGATTCTCTTTGTCGGAGCACAAGCAGGGGGAGAAGCAGGCTGTCCTGCTGAGCAGAGAGCGTGATGCGGGACTTGATCCCAGAACCCTGGGATCCTGACCTGAGCCGAAGGCAGACACTTAACTGACTAAGCCACCCAGACATCCCTGGCATAAAGTTTGTAATATTCTCTTTTTTTAAGATTTTATTTACTTATTTGACAGAGATCATAAGTAGAGAGGGAAGCAGTGGGGGGGTGTGGGAAGCAGGCTCCCCCCTGAGCAGAGAGCCCAATGCAGGGCTCGTTCCCAGGACCCCAGGATCATGACCTGAGCCAAAGAAAGAGACTTAACCCACTGAGCCAACCAGGCACCCCTTCTCTTACCTTTTTAATATCTGTAGAATCTGTGTACAAATACCTGACAGTCTGCTTTCATTTTATTTTGGTTATCACTTCTCCGCCTTTTGGCTAAGATCAAGTGGACAAGTGGAATTGTTGGATAATGTGGTTTTTTTCTGTTTCAATTTATTCAAATTCTGGTTAACGTATAAGGTAATCCTGATTTCAGATATAGAGTTTGGTGATTCATCACATATAACATCCTATGCTCATCACAGGTGCCCTCCTTAATTACCCACCACCTGCCCACCTCCCTCCATCAACCCAGTTTGTTCTCCGTAGTTAAGAGTTTCTTACAGTTTACCTCCCTCTTTTTTCCCTTCCCCCGTGTTCATCTGTTTTTTAAATTACACACAAGTGAAATCATACTGTATTTGTCTTTCTCTGACTTCACCTAGCATAATACACTCTAGCTCCATCCACATTGTTGCAAATGGCAAGATCTCAATCTTTTTCATGGCTGAGTAATACTCCATTTTGTGTGAGAGCTATATTATATAGATAAATCCATATATTATGTATAATTATATATTACATACATATAATCACATTATGTATATAGTTATATATATTATATATATAATCATCTTTACCCATTCATCAGTTGATAGACATCTGGGCTCTTTCCGTACTTTGGGCATTATTGATAATGCTGCTATAAACATTGGGACGTACGTGCCCCTTTTGAATCACTATTTTTGCATCCTTTGGGTAGATATCTAACAGTGCAATTGCTGGATCATTTAACTTTTGTGGAAACTCCATATGGTTTTCCAGAGCGGCTGTGGCAGTTTGCGTTCCCATCGGGAGCGTAAGAGGGTTCCGCTTTCTCCGCATCATCCTTGCCAACACCCGTCGTTTTCTGAGTTGTTAAACTTAGCCGTTCTGACAGCTCTGAGGTGGCATCTCCTGTAACTTCTGACTTGTAGTTCCTTGATGAGTGACGTTGAGTGTCCATTCACGTCTTCTGCCCATTTTGTAACTGGATTGTTTTTTGGATGTTGAGTTTGAGAAGTTCCCTCCAGATTTTGGACACTAGCCCTTTATCAGGTCGGTCATTTGCAGATACCTTCTCCCACGCTGTAGGCTGCCGCTTAGTTTTGTTGATCGCTTGCTTTGCTGCGCAGAAGCTTTATCCTGATGAAGCCCCAGTAGTCATTTTTGCTTTTGTTTCTGCTTCTGGAGACGGGTCTCGTAAGAAGTTGCTATGTCCAAGGTCACAGAGGTTGCTGCCTGCGTTCTCTAGGATTCTGACAGATTCCTGTCTCACATTTAAGTCTTTCATTCATTCATTATTTATTTATTTAAAAGATTTTATTTATTTACTTGACACAGAGAGATCACAAGTAGGCAGAGAGGCAGGCGGGTGGGGCGGGGGGAGAGGCAGGCGGGTGGGGGGGGGAGCAGGCTCCCCACCGAGCAGGGAGCCAGACGTGGGGTTCGATCCCAGCATCCTGAGATCATGACCTGAGCCGAAGGCAGAGGCTTTAACCCACTGAGCCACCCAGGCGCCCCTCCTCCCATTTTAAATGTGGTTTTTTCCCCCCCTACTGGACAGTTCCTTGTTCGCTGTAGATCTTTATCTTTCAGTCAGCCTCGAGTATTTTTTAATGTTTCCTTTCAGGAACGAGGGCTTGGAGCTTCTCAGTTCACCACCTTGCTCATGTCACTCTCTCCGTCCCTAATTCTTTCTCTCTCTCTATCCTCTCAGGAGGCAGGAATCCAAATGAGGTGGAAACTCTTCGCGAAGCAGGAATCAGGTGCCTGTCACTGGGGGAGCTTTCATGCTGGCAAATCAAGAGACACGTTGGAAGCAAATTAACCAAAAACCAAGACTCTGGGATAAATATTCAAGGAAAGAGTGCTCCGTTCTTCGACCAGAGTGACTCCCCCTGCCAGAGGGGAGCCGGGATATGCGTTCAGGCTTCGGTGGAGGACAGCTGCTTTATGAACCTTCTGGAGGATCATTCGAAGATCCTTGAAAACCAAGAATTTCCGGCCGGGAGAGTTCAGAGTCCTTGGAGTGAGATCTATCTCAGCGAAACACAGAACTACCAGCGAAGTTGTAAGCAGACTCAGATGAAAAACCAACTATGTATATTTGCTCCGTATGTTAACATCTTCAGCTGTATTTCACGCCACGATGACGACACCGTGCACCGGAGGGCCAGAGCGCACAACGGTGACTGCGGGAAGGTGTCCCCTCTTCTCCAGCAGACCTACCACCGCAGTGACCGCGAGAAGGCGTTCGGCGGTGGCCACAGTCTTGAGCTTCACCGGCAGGTGCACTCGGGAAAGTCCCCCCCTTACGGCGCACGTGACAAGGGCAGCGGTTACAGCGCGGCTGCTCCCGTTCAGCAAAGTGTCCACACAGGAAAGAAACGCTATTGGTGTCACGAGTGTGGGAAGGGTTTCAGCCAGAGCTCCAACCTGCAGACTCACCAGAGGGTCCACACAGGGGAGAAGCCCTATTCGTGCCTTGAGTGCGGGAAGAGCTTTAACCAGACCTCGCATCTTTATGCGCATTTGCCTGTCCACACCGGAGAGAAGCCCTACCGCTGTGAGAGCTGTGGGAAGGGCTTCAGTCGGAGCACGGACCTGAACATCCACTGCCGCGTTCACACGGGAGAGAAACCCTACAAGTGCGAGGTGTGCGGGAAGGGCTTCAGTCAGCGGTCGCACCTGCAGGCCCACGAGAGGATCCACACCGGAGAGAAGCCGTACAAATGTGGGGACTGCGGGAAGCGCTTCAGCTGTAGCTCCAACCTGCATACCCACCAGCGGGTCCACACGGAGGAGAAACCGTACAAGTGCGAGGAGTGTGGCAAGTGCTTCAGTTTGAGCTTTAATCTCCACAGCCATCAGCGAGTGCACACCGGAGAGAAGCCGTATAAGTGCGAAGAGTGTGGGAAAGGCTTCAGTTCGGCCTCCAGTTTCCAGAGCCACCAGAGGGTTCACACGGGAGAGAAACCGTTCCGATGCCACGTGTGTGGCAAGGGCTTCAGCCAAAGTTCGTATTTTCAAGCTCACCAGAGGGTCCACACGGGAGAAAAGCCATACAAATGCGACGTGTGTGGGAAGCGCTTCAACTGGAGCTTGAATCTCCACAACCATCAGAGGGTCCACACGGGGGAGAAGCCGTATAAATGTGAGGAGTGCGGGAAGGGCTTCAGCCAGGCCTCAAATCTGCAGGCTCACCAGAGTGTCCACACGGGGGAGAAGCCGTTCAAGTGTGAGGCGTGCCAGAAGCGATTCAGCCAGGCCTCCCATCTTCAGGCGCATCAGCGGGTCCACACCGGAGAGAAGCCGTACAAATGTGACACGTGTGGTAAGGCCTTCAGCCAGAGGTCAAATCTTCAAGTCCATCAGATCATCCACACGGGAGAGAAACCATTTAGATGCGAGGAGTGTGGGAAGGAATTCAGCTGGAGCGCCGGGCTCAGTGCTCATCAGAGAGTGCACACGGGGGAGAAGCCCTATACGTGTCAGCAGTGCGGTAAAGGCTTCAGTCAGGCCTCGCATTTTCACACCCATCAGAGGGTCCACACCGGGGAGAGGCCATACATATGTGATGTCTGTTGCAAAGGCTTCAGTCAGAGATCCCATCTTGTGTATCACCAGAGAGTGCACACTGGAGGAAACCTATAGACGGCTTCGGGGTGGCGTGGCCTTCGGTCAGAGTTCACATCCTCCTCTCCGCTGGAAACTCCATGCTGGGAGCTGCGGAAAGCTCCTTCGGAACTCAGAAACCTCAAGGAGTCTTCACATGCCAGTAAGCTCTGTACAGTGCTCTTTTAAGGACTCGGTTCGGAGAGAAATTCCTTGCAAACGTCAGATTTCACAGATAAGAGAAAACCTATAAATACACCCAGTGTTTATATGAGAATTCCGAATGTCCCAATGTTCAGGATGCAACATGAAAGAATTTCAGAATTCATCCAAGTCTACCCAGGAAAGAAGCCTTATAAGTGAAGACTAGGGGCAGAACTTGAACAAAAGTATCGTGATGGGCAAACCGAATGGCAAGAGCAGTGTATCCGCCGCGTCGGGAGCGATGTTTTTCACTGCTTTATCTCTACCGTGTCGACGTGCGCTTGGCTCGTGACAGATGCCCAGCACTTACTGAACTAAGTGGAGAGAATCTATAATTAGGACAAGGATTGGGAACTCATACTCCCCTGCGAGGATTTCGTAATAATATACTCAAAAGGAATCTTGCGAGTAGCCTTAATGAGATTTCTTTCAGGAAACGTTCAGGTACAGAAAATCATGTCGTGCCGCCAGCCGCAGCATTGCAGATTGGGCTGGAATGTGCGAATGGCCCCATCCTCCATCCGGCCCTGGTTCTTTGTAGTATGTCAGCCCTTGTGTACAGCACAATATGTAGTATCATTAGTGCTTTATAGACTGAAAAATACTGGTTTTAACTAGTAACACAATACTACAATTTATATGCTTGGAAATTTTGGACCGTAATTCATTAAGGTAGGATTTCACTGTAACTCTCGAAAGTGTTGAAAGTAGACTAATGACAAGTTTTTTAGTAAACTTGAATTGTTAGCAAGTGGTGTCTTCTCATTATTTCCCTTCACGCTTAGGTCAGATTGCCTTCTCTATGCACAATCCTTCATCCAGACCACTGTAGGCAGCGCCTTTGGTAGATTTCAAGGACATTTTGTCACACCCCCAGTTCTCCCCCATCCCCGCACGCTCCCCCAAGGGTAGAACAAGAAACATTGAGTTTTTATTGAAATTTCATGAAATAACAATTTAGATGGATTACCGTTAACACAGCATTCTGTGTTCAACACCTCTTGTCAAGAGTGGACATAAGCTGGTCAGTATATACTGAAATGCCCTTTGGCCTGGCAGTCCTAGCACTGAACACTTTCCCTTTCAGGTTCTCCTCTCCCTATCTTGTGATTTATAAAAATTGGTAAGGCAATTAAATCCAGATGAAACTCTAGTTCCAAAAGTACCCTAATATGTTTTTATTAGTATTGATTCTTTTATTTAGATCTATGGTTAGACATGTTTATTAGTTTATTTATCTTAGAAATATACAATAAGTACTTTTTTCATGAAATTAATCTTTAATGACTCAAATTCTTTTGGGTAGACAGGTCACAGGAATGGGAGGTTTAATGCATGGTGGAAATTGGATAGATGTACAAAAGTTGGATGGCTTGTAAATGGTTATTTAATTCTTGGTATTTTTCTTTATATTTGAAATGTGCCAAATATAAAATTTATATATTGATATAATTTTTTAGAAGACTTTATTTGAGAGAGAGAGACAGAGAGCGCATGAGGGGAGGTCAGAGGGAGAAGCTGGGAGCCCGATGTGGGGCTTGATCCCAGGACTCTGAGATCATGACCTGAGCCGAAGGCAGGCGTTTAACCAACTGAGCCACCCAGGCACCCCTGTATTTTTTTTTATGTAAATGAAAAGAGAGCTAGTGGGTATAGACTTTTAGGTTTGGAGAACGTTTACCAACTCTGCAGTTGATACAGTTGCTCTGAGGTTTGGACAGTTTACTGGGAAAAAATTCTACCTGTAATTGAGGCTTTCCTAATAATTATTAAGAAAGTTCATTGAAGAAAGTTGTCCCCCCACCAAGGACACTAACTCTTCCAAATGGTCTCCTGTTTTCCCTCATGCTCCTTGCACTAATGACCAGGTTTGCACATATGGTGTATATCCATTGTCCATTTTCCCTTCCAAACGACTATCCCCCCCCATTAATTAGCACAAACTACCCACTATTCCTTCACACAGCCACCTGCCAATCCCTTTATTCTTTCTTGCTCCTTGATTTTATCTCCAGAACCAGTCTTGCTACCCTATCACTACTCTTTTCAGACTACTTGCAGATTATTGTATCCATTCCCAAAACCCTGGCCTCTCAGTTCCTTGATTACTCTGCCTCCGGTGGTCTTGTCTTCCACAGCACCTCAGCCCTTGGCTCCAAAGGTAACATCTTGCCAGCGAGAAAATAAATGAGGCGTGTGACCATGTGACGTAATGAGCACTGGGCGTTAAGTGCAACTATGAGTAACTGAACCGTACATCTGAAACTAATGCTACACTGTGTGTTAATATAACTGAATCGAAATAAGGTAAATGGAAATCCCTCTGTAATCTTAGATTCAAACATTCCATTCCAATCACCAGCTCCTGTTGTACCAGCTTATACCCTCTTCATTCTCATTTTAATAACTCTTAAAATTCACAGGGACCAAAAACCCATTACTCCTACGCCCTTTTCACTCATTTCCTTCATTCCCTTTGTATCTGGAAAGGAGAATAGACTTCCGTTTACATCCCAGTGCCCCAGACTGTCTCATGTCAACCTCTAACACAGGAAGAAATACTTCAAGAGTGTTCATGTCACCCAATCTGTAGAAGAGGCAGAGAAGAGCAAACTGGGTTAGGAATATACGCAAGATGAAGCGGTCTACAGTACGTGGTTCAGATAGACGTGACTTAAGTGTATCTGACACTACCTCCAACCCCAATTTTTAGCTCTCATTTAAGAATACTGCAATTCTCAGGAACAGGCTATTACAGTAATAATGCCAGTACTCAGCATTTTCTAAAAAAAGTTTCAGACTTTGGAGATTGATCAATTGCTAGAATAAGGTATCTGTGCAGCATTTCGCGAGTTGTCATGATCTAGCTGGAAACCACAGCTTCAGAGTGCACTGGTCAATCGTGTAAATAGACGCAAACGAGTAACCGAAAGTAACCGTATATGAATTATACAACAACGCTAGAAGCATCTTCAATGCGCTGACCAAGTAGTTCCTGTTGCACCAGAGCTCCAGCAGATAACAAGTAGAAGTTCTAGACCAAATACTAAAACTATCCAAAGGCACTGGAGAATGAACAGAAGCAGGCAGATCCTGGAGATGGGTCAACACTCAGAAGAAGGAAATAAGTCCGTTTCCTACCTTTTATGGCTTTTACCCTGAAAGCAAGTCCAGTCTGCACTATTTTAGGGCAGCTAAAACATACATGGAAAACTAAGTTTTCCAACAAAAGGGTTCAAGGCCTATACAACTGCTGTTGGAAAGTATGGTGGGTAGTATACCCTGGAAGAGGGCCAGGGAAAGGAAGCTCCAAATTCTGTGTCTAAGCATTTCCCAAATGTGTGGCTCTCTCCTCAGCTATAGAGGACAAAGAATACTTAAAGGAGCCAAACCAATACTAACAAGTGAATTAAAATTTGAGCTGCCACCTACAGGAAAGAGAAAATCTTTGGTTGAGCCCAGCTAAATTAAATGCCTAATAAAAATATTTTTTCAAGATTTTATTTATTTGACAGAGAGAGACACAGCGAGAGAAGGAACACAAGCAGGAGGAGTGGAAGAGGGAGAAGCAGGCCTCCCACTGAGCAGGGAGCCCGAGGCAGGGCTTGATCCCAGGACCCTGAGATCATGATCCCAGCTGAAGCCAGACACTTAATGACTGAGCCACCCGGGCGCCCCTAATAAAAATATTTTTAAAAATACTCCAAGGGAAATCAGAGCGGGAGACAAACCATGAGAGACTGTGGACTCTGAGAAACAAACTGAGGGTTTTAGAGGGGAGGGCAGTGGGGGATGGGTGAGGCTGGTGGTGGGTATTACGGAGGGCATGTATTACATGGAGCACTGGGTGTGGTGCATAAACAATCTTGGAACACTAAAAAATAAAATTAAAAAATACTCTGGAGGAACATAATGAAATCCAGTTTCCTCAGGGTATTAATTACAATGCCTAGGATGTAATTTAAGATTACTAGATATTTGGGAAAACAAAAACTGGAAAACATGACTTGTTCTCAAGGGAAAACAGATCAACAGAGATCAATGCCAAGATGATCCAGATGTGGGAATCAGACGATTTTTTTTTAAGATTTTGTTTATTTATTTAACAGACATATCACAAGTAGGCAGAGAGGCAGGCAGGGGTCGGGGGGAAGCAGGCTCCTTGCTGAGCAGGGAGCCCAATGCGGGGCTCGATCCCACGACTCTGAGATCATGACCTGAGCCGAAGGCAGAGGCTTAACCCACTGAGCCACCCAGGTGCCCCCAGACAACAATTTTTTAAAAGCTATTATAAACTATGCTTAAAATGTAAAGAAAAATGTCCTTATCATGAAGGAAAAAATAAGAAACCTTAGCTAAGAAATAGCAACTATCAAAACATTACCAAACAAGTTCTAGGGGGTTGACAGTGGAGTGGAAGGACTATAAGCTCACCTTATCCCACAGACACACCTAGGTAACACCCACATCAGTATAAATATCCCCATAAAATGACCCAAAGACGAGCAGAGCAGACTCTCCAGAGCTACATATAAAGAAGAGGACACATCAAAGAAGGTAGGAAGGGAAGAGACACAGAAGCTAAACGGTCCCGTGAAGCAGTCTGGGGGGTGGTGGGTGGAGAAAGAACACACCACGGATGCAGAGAGCGAAAACCAGACCCCAATCGGGGCAACCGGGCCTGGGGGACCCACACAGAGAAGAAAAATCTCCATAAAAATTGGCTTTGAGGGACGCCTGGGTGGCTCAGTTGGTTGGACAACTGCCTTCGGCTCAGGTCATGATCCCTGGGTCCCAGGATCGAGTCCCACATCGGGCTTCCAGCTCCATGGGGAGTCTGCTTCTCCCCCTGACCTTCTCCTCGCTCATGTTCTGTCTCTTTCTTAAATAAATAAATAAAATCTTTAAAAAAAAATTGGCTTTGAAAACCAGAATAGCCAAATTTCATGAGTTTTTATCAGCGGAGCTGAACAACTGGAACTTTAAAAATCAGCAGGTGGCTCTGGAAGAGTTTGAAGGGCAACAGGAAACGGGGTCCTCGCTCTTAAAGAGACAGCGCAACAAACAGCCCTACAGGAGATACAGCACAGAAGCATCAGTATGAGAAATGCCACGCCTTCTCCTGTGAACCTGCCCTGGCCTAAGCCAGAATTTTGGGTGGCTGCTAGACCTCTCCTTAGCTGACCCATGCTGGTGTCATGCACCCTGTCCCGTATCCCAAAGACCTGCCCCCTCCAGTATGCCCTTGGCCAGATCCTATCTAAAGCAGTGCCACAAGGAGCTGCGGGTGTTCAAACATCCCTAACAAAAGCCACCACCACTCCGAAGTGACTCCTGCCCAAGGGAAAGCAGAAGACGACCACACACACAAGTGAAAATGCGGCCCCAGCTGTGGGTCTGGGGGCAGACGTTGTGCCTGACTACAGGCCCTAACCACCAATGAAAGCTTCTCCAGGACAACACAGGGAGAGTGCCCTGCAGTTCTGTGCTACAGCAGCTCTGGAAAATGCCTGGTCTGACTCCGTTTAAGCCCAAGGCAGCCCAAACCAACCCACTAACACCACTTCCCTCAACAGGCAGAGAGAACCACTGCAGATGCCTGAAGGCAAAGCAGCTCAGCCACGGGAACAAAGCCACGGGAACAAAGTATCTCCTGCATATAACACACGCAGGAGATACTATCAAGTTCCAGGTCCTGGTGAACCGGTGACGTTGCACTGTAGGGCCCTTCGTTCTTTCTTCATGAGGCCGCTACTTTCAAGAGCGGGAAACATAACTGACTTTCCTAACACAAAGAAATAGACACAGAATTTGACAAAATGAGGAGACACTGGAATATGTCCCAAGTGAAAGAAGACAAAAATCAAAGAAAGAGAGCTAAGCAAGAGATAAGTAATACACATGTTAGAGAATTAAAGTAGTGGTCATAAAGATACTCACTGGACTTGAGTAAAGACTGGACGACCTCAGTGAGACCCTTAACAAGAGACAGAAAACATAAAAAAGAACCAGAGATGAAAAACTCAGTAACAGAAATTTTAAAAATACACTAGATACAGCACCCGGGTGGCTCAAATGGTTAAGTACCTGCCTTGGGCTCTGGTCACAATCCCAGGGTCCTGGGGTCGAGCCCCACATTGGGCTCTCTGCTCAGCAGGGAGCCTACTTCTCTCTCACACACTCTCACTCACTCTTTCTGGCAAATAAATAAAATCTTTTTTTAAAAATAAAAATTAAAAAAATACACTAGATAGGATGAATAGTAGACATCAGGAAGAAGAACGGATCAGCAACCTGGGAAATGGAGTAATGGAAAGCAATCAAGCTGAACATAAGAGGAAAAAAAAAATAATGAAAAATGCAAATAGATTAAAGGAACTCAGTGACACTATCAAACCTAATAACATTCACATTATTGGGATCCCAGAAGGGAAAAAGGGGGCAGAACATTTATTGGAAGAGATAATAGCTGAAACTCCAAATCTTGGGAAGGAAACAGATATCCAGATGCAGGAGACATAGAGAGGCCCCAACCAAAAGCAACCCAAGGAAGTTCACATCAAAACATATAGTAATAAGAATGGTGAAAGGTAGTAATAAAGAGTTTTAAAAGCAGGAGAAAAGAAAACAGTTACATACAAGTGAAACCCCAGAAATATTCAGCTGATTTTTCGGCAGAAACTTTGCAGTCCGGAAGAGAATGGCATGATATATTCAAAGCACTAAAAGAAAAAAACCTGCAACCAAGAATACTCTATTCAGCAAGACTATCATACAGAATAGAAGGAGAGATAAAGTTTCCTTTCCCATATACACAAAAGCTAAAGGAGTTCATGGCCACTAAACCAGCTCAATTAGAAATGTTAAAGGGGACTACTTGAGTGGAAAGGAAAGACCATAAACAGGAGTAAGAAAAGCAGGAATCACAAAAGGAGAAAAAGTGTATCTATACAAATCAGTCAAGGGATTCACAAAGTATGACACCATAGACCTAAGATGGAGGGACGAGGGGAGTAAAGAATGAGTTCCAACATAAGCAACCATTAACTTAATATAGAATGTTAATATGTAGAGGGTATTATATACAAACAGAATGGTAACCATGAATCAAAAACCAGTAACAGATATGCAAACAATAAAAAGTCAAGTATATCAATAAACAAAGCTAACAGAGAAGACAGCAAGAACAAAAACAACCACAAAACAAGTAACAAATTGGCAATAACTACACAGCTAATCAACAGTTACTTTGAATGTAAATGGACTAAATGCTTCAATCAAAACACAGAGTGAAAGCATCAAAATATTAAAAATAGAACTACCATATGGTCCAACAATTCCACTACTGGGCATTTACCTGAAGAATACAAAAACAGTCATTCAAAAAGATCTATGCGCCCTGTGTTTACTGCAGCATTATATACAATAGCTAAATTATGGAAGCAGTCCAAGTGTCCATTGACTAGTGAATGGATAAAGATGTGGTGTATATATACACACACACATATAATGGAATATTACTTAGCCATAAAAAAGAATGAAATCTTAACATCCGTAACAAATGGATGAATCTAAAAGATAGGAGCCTAAATGAAACAAGTCAGAGAAAGAAAAATACTCTGATTTCACTCAAATGAGGCATTTAACAAAACAAATGATTTTGGCACTATTGTAAAATGGATTCTCTTTCAGTTGCTTCATTATTGTCTTCTAGAAATGCAACAGATTTCTGTATGTTGATTTTGTATCCTGTGACTTCTTGGAATCTGTGTGACAGTTCTAGCAACTTTTTGGTAGACTCTTTTGAGTTTTCTACATAGAGTATCATGTCAGCTGTGAATGGTGGAAGTTTGACTTCTTCCTTGCTGATTTGGATCTCTACTATTTCTTTTTGTTGTGTGAATGCTGAAGCTAGGATTTCCAGTACTATGTTAAATAACGATGGTGAGAGTGGGCATCCCTGTCTTGTTCCTGACCACAGAGGAAAAGATTTCAGTTTTTCCTCACTGAGATGATGTTAGCTGTGGGGTTTTCATACATGCTCTTTATGATGTTGAAGTATGTTCTCTCTATCCCTACTTTGTTGAGGGTTTTTATCAAGAATAGATGCTGTACTTTGTCATGTGCAATTTCTGCATTAATGAAAGGATCATATGGTTCTTATCTCCTGTTAAAGTGGTGCATCATGTGGATTGGTTTGCGAATATTGAACCACACTTGCAACCCAGGAATAAATTCCATTTGGCCATAGTGAATAATATACTGTTGGATTTGGTTTGCTAATATTTTGTTGAGAATTTGTACATCCCTGTTCATCAGGGATATTGGCCTGTAGTTCTCTTTTTTTAGTGAGGTCTTCATCTGGTTTTGGTATCAGGGTAATGCTGGCCTCATAGAATGAATTTAAGTTTTCCTACCATTTCTATTTTTTTGAACAGTTTGGGAAGAACAGGTATTAGCTCTTCTTTAAATGTTTGGTAGAACTCCCTTGTGAAGCCATCTGGCCTTGGACTTTTGGTTTTGGGGATTTTTTTTTTATTACTGATTAAATTTCTTTGCTGGTTATCAGTCTGTTTAAGTTTTCTATTTCTTCCTGTTTCAGTTTTGGTAATTTATTTATTTCTAGGAATTTAACCATTTCTTCCAGTTTTCCCAGTTTGTTGGCATATACTTTTACTTTTCCTTTTATTTCCTGAACCCCCTGGTCTCCAAGTCCTAGTAAACCAACAGTTTCTTCATCTGAAAACTGTGGCTAATGATATTTGTCCTTTCTACCTTAGAAGAGAAATAAAAATTATGCTTAATATAAAAACTTATTAAAAACAGAAAAGGGATAACCTGGAGGGTTTCAAAGTAGTTACATATTGAGCACTCAGTTTTTCATAATATTCTCTAATTCTTAGTATTTCTGTGGTGCTAGTTGTTATTTCTCCTCTCTCATTTGTGACTTTATTTGGGTCCTTACTCTTTTGATAATCGTCTGGCTAGAGGTTTATCAATTTTATTAACTTTTCAAAGAATAAGCTCCAGGTTTCATTGATTTGTTTTTTTTTTAGTTTCTATATCATTTATCATTATATATCATTTATTTCTGCTCCAATCTTTATCATTTCCTTCCTTCTGCTGGCTTTAGGCTTCATTTGTTCTTTTTCTAGCTTCTTTAGGTGTAAGTTTAGGTTGTACCACAAACCATACTATAATGTAGCTAGGAATAAACCTAACCATAGAGGTAAAAGATATGTACTCTGAAAATTATAAAACAATGATGAACGAAAGTGAAGAGGACACAAAAAATGGAAAGACATTCTATGCTTATGGATTGGAAGAATAATTATTAATAAAATCCTGAATGAAAGGGGAGTGATCACAACCACTACCAAGGAAATACACATTTGTTGGAACATATTATGAGCAACTATATGCCAACAAATTAGGAAGAAATGGATACATTCTTGGAAACTTATAACCTACCAAGACTGAAACAAGAAGAGGTATAAAACTGAGCAGACCAATAACCAGCAAGGATACTGAAGCAGTCATCAAAACATCCCCCCCACCAAAACAAGAGTCTGGGGCCAGGGGAATTCTATCAAACATTTAAAGAAGAAATAATACCTATTTTACTGAAGCTGTTTCAAAAAATAGAAATGAAGGGAAATTCCAAACTTGTTCTGAGTTCAACATTCCCTTGATCCCAAAACCAGACAAAGACCCATCAATAAGGAGAATTATAGACCAATATCCCTGATGAACATGGATGCAAAAATACCCAACAAGATATTAGCTAATAGGATCCAACAGTACATTAAAAGGATTATTCACCATGACCAGGTGGGATTTATTCCTGGGATGCAAGGTTGGTCCAACATTTGCAAATCAATCAATGTGATAGAGCACACTAATAAAAGAAAAGAATCATATGATCCTCTCAATTGATGCAGAAAAAAGCATTTGACAAAATACACCATGCTTTCTTAAAACTCTTCAGGGCACCTGGGTGACTCAGTGGGTTAAGCCTCTGCCTTTGGCTCAGGTCATGGTCTCAGGGTCCTGGGATCGAGCCATGCATCGGGCTCTCTGCTCAGCAGGGAGCCTGCTTCCCCCTCTCTCTCTGCCTGCCTCTCTGCCTTCTTGTGATCTATTTCTCTCTGTCAAATAAAAAAAGAAAACCTCTTCAAAGTATAGGGATAGAGGGAACATACCTCAGTATCATAAAAGCCATCTATGAAAAGCCCACAGTGAATATCATTCTCAATGGGGAAAAACTGAGAGCTTTTCCCTTATGGTCAGGAACACGGCAGGGATACTCACTCTCACCACTATTGTTCAACATAACACTAGAAGACCTAGCCTCAGGAATCAGACAAAAAGAAAGAAAAGGCATTCAAATTGTCAAAGAAGAAGTCAAACTCTCTCTTCACAGATGCCATGATACTTTATGTGGAAAACTCAAAAGACTCCATCCCAAAATGCTAGAACTCATAGAGCAATCCAGCAATGTGGCAGGATACCACATCTATGCACAGAAATCAGTTGCATTTCTATATACTATCAATGTGACTGAAGAAAGAGAAATTAAGAAATAAATCCCATTCATAATTGCACAAAAACTGTAAGATACCTAAGAATAAATCTAACCAAAGAGGTAAAAAATCTGTACTCTAGAAACTACAAAACACTGATGAAAGAAATTGAGGAAGACACAAAGAGATGGAAAAACATTCCATGCTCATGGACTGGAAGAATAAACATTGTTAAAATATCTATGCTGCCCAGAGCAACCTA